GAATTGAGGCAGTTCTGAAGGCAAAAGGGGGTCCAACCCGTTACTAGCGTGGTGTACCTAATAAAGTGGCCGGTGAGTGTATGTTTCAACTGAATAGTGCTGTCTGTATGAGCTGTATCATACTGAATTAATTTATTGTTGATGAGGAGCATTCAGGTCGCAGCTGTGAATGAATCTTTGGCCATTTTGACTGAAGATACAATTTATTTAGCTTTGTTTGACGTTTAAAGAGATATTTAGCGACTAAAGCAAAGCAATTCTATGGTTAAAACCTGAACCACTGCTGAGAACCGACACACAGCTCAGTACAAGCTGCGAGTCTGACCACAGCAAACTTATCCCAAAAAGCCTGTTTATGTTCAGGACATTCTAAACTAAATCACTCAGAGTTTGCGTTCGTTTATTTTCAAAATTTTTGCTTTTATACATTATTTTTAATATAAGTTTTGTACATTTTATTACTTTTAATACTGAAATTGTTTAATCTTGCAACCAAGTAAAATTTGGTAGCAATGTAAAAATAACGTTTTTAGGCAATATTTTGTACAGCTTTTAAAACCAAATTATCTTCTTTTTTTCTTTTTCTTTTTGCTGGCAGCACTCTATTTGATTGTTACCAGAAGTCTTTGTCCTTCACCTCCCTCAGCTGGCCTCTCTCATTAGCTAATTGATCTTAATCCTGTACACCTGGTCACAGAGGTGAACCATGCGCACACCCACTGAGATCCACTTGCTGTTGGATCTCATGACATTGTGCGTTTGGTTTTATGACAGAAAATACCTTTTTCACAATGGGTAATGTGACCTGTAATGGTGAGAACAGGGCAGGTGTTGCTATTAATATCAATAATAGAAAGGACGTTACTACAGCTTTGTTGTGTCAACAAAACCAGGAAACTGGTGAGTAAACAATACGCACAAGTCAAGTCATGAGGTCCAGTGTTTCCCAAAAAACAGGAACATTAAAAATGTTCCTATTGTTTTTTTTTTCCCAGTACCTTCTATGGATTAATTTCTGTTTTATCACATGAATGAATCAAATTTGAGAATGTATCAAACCAGTAATTTTAACAGCAGGATCATTCTGTGTGAGRAAATGCAGCCAATAAAGTAACACATTATGTAATTATTATTGTTTTACGTAGTCATTTTATATATTGATTTTATATGATGTTGCAATTCACTGCAGCAAAGAGCTATTTCACTGTCAATGTAAAAATGTTTCCTTACTGTGCATCTGACAAACTTAAATCAAAGTATTTTCTGGATGATTAATCAAAAAGGTCTGCTGTGAAAGAGATCTTTAAGCTAGCCTTTTAAAGCACCTAAAACAGGAAAACCCTGGTATTCAAATTCATATTTTTTTCAGTTTACAAATACATTTGAACAAATCAGCATAGGGTCCAAATTAATTACATTTATAGTCATGATACATGTATGTACACTTCAGACCACAATTGTAAAAGACAGACCAATTTATGACCTCTCTTTTGAGTTGCCAGTATAATTTGTTTTTGATTCTCCGAATTGAAATTGCYAATGTATGTCTACTGCAAGTAAGATACTGACTGATCATATTTACTCTGTAGAAACCCATTTTAAAAGAAATTGTATTTTTTATTTTTAGATTGTGTCAGTCATGCCTACATTAACTGCAAATCAGATTTTTCAGTAATAAAATGTCCATCATAAAATGTAATTGTATGGCAAAAAGTATTAATATTTTTGTTCAATGCTTAATTTTTCTGATTGGGTTTTTATTTCAGTCACATTCTTATGAAATAATATAAAGAGTATACCACTGTCAAAAATATTTCCACATATGCCCATTGTGTATTGGACAGTTTTTTTTTTAAATCATGTTGATCTGAATCTTTTACACTTGTAAAACATGGCTCTGCAAAACTAAATGAAATGTGCTGCAACTCACCCATTTTTACAAATCCAATATCCACATACAGTTTAGCACAAAGGGAACCTAAGAGGTATCCAAACACGGGGCCAACCACAGAGATGGTCTGCACACAGCCTAAAACAAAATAAAATAAACAACAATGACAAAATTAGGATTTTAAAGAACTAAAATGCACTAAAACTGATTGRAAGCTTTGTAGATATTTTATCATTATGTAGTGGTTCTGGTTTACTGTGCGTGTTCAGGAATTTAAAGTAAGATTTTACCTTTATTAGTCTGGTAAACATCTGCTGTTTTTTTTCAGTAATACTCATAATCTGGTTTAGTAGAACACAGGAGATTTACTTGGACAAATTAAAGAAAAAAAACAAAAACACTGCTGCACGTGGCAGAGCTTTCTGCAACAGATGCATTATTTCTGAACTGAAGGATTGTGCTCCCAATAGACTGTAGTTAAGCTAAAGCCATGTATTCAGTATAATAAATAGAAATGGGTCACTTTTAAAGTTCACTCTGCCTGTTGGGAAAATATCTTATGAACCATGAATTGATTTTTTTTTAATTTAGTTTAGTATTTTTCTGGAAATTTTTATCATTCAGTATTAAAATACTTGATGATTCTCTCTCTCTCTCTCTCTCTCTCTCTCTCT